AATGCTGTGGGATTGTTTAAAAGGGGGAAGTGATTCTGGTCCAGACAAATGCCATGATGGAGTCCTGGAGGGACAGCACTCTGTAGGAACAGGCTGGCTGACAGGGAAGCTTCCCTCAGCAAAGACACAAAATGACCTCTAAGCTTGCCAAGAGGGGTGAGGTAAGGGTGGGAAAATTGCCAAGAACAGAGACAGAGCTTGTAGTGAGGCCCAGGTCCCAGAGAGGGCAGGGTTCATCCAGAATTGAAGGGTGTCTGGAGGAGTTGGTCCTAGGTAGTTGGGCTGGGGAGGAGAGGAGACAATATGGAGGTGACCACGGCTCTACCTCTGGAGGAGCTCTTGAGGCATGCCATGGGGTCTGGATGGGATCCTAAGAGCCATACGGGGGTAGGGAACTGGAAGGATTTTCCGATGTTGTCAGATTCAGGATTTTGTCACACAAGTAGTCATTTGGCTATGCTGAGGTGAGTGGCTTGGAGAGGGACATAGCCAGGTTGGGGTGTGGAGAGGGAGCCTGGAGGCAGGAGAGCCTCTGGAGGCTGTTCCTGAACCATGGTGGCCTGGTTGGAGTCATGGCAGCAAGTGGGGAAGAAGACAGGTGGGTACTTCTTGAAAATGACCAGGCTGACAGATGAGGAGCTGGTAATTGGCAGGACATGGCAGGGCCTGCAGCCTACTCCCATCAACTTGTGAGCCTTGGTGGTCTCATTTTGCAGTGCCCACCTTGCAGGGTTCTCTTGGGGATCAAGTAGAGCAGCGACAGTATCACCTCTTTTAACAGATGAGAGTGCGATGTGGCTGGTGACTTGCCCAAGGGCGCTCAGTGAGCACTGAGCAGTACTCTTGCTCTCTTTTACCTGCTCTGCAGAGCATACTGGTCTTGGCACAAATGACCTTTAATGGAGCCCTGGTAGGGAGGGAGAAGGAACGTACTGTCTGTTCTTCCAGGCCTGCCACAGACCTTGAGGGAGCCACAATAAATGCTGTGTTTGTTTGATAAAGCACTTGGCTTTTGGTCTGAGCAGGAGGAAGAGCTAGAACAGGTGTGGCAAGAGCAGGGCAGCCTGAGGCACAACAGTAGGAGGGGGAGTGGGACAGAGCCCCAGGCCCTGGCAGGGGTGTCGGGCTGTGGATTTCGAAGAAACCCAGAATGTTCTCACAACCCAGCCAGCCATTGCCCTCATGTTCCCAGGCTCCTGCCTGGCTGAAGAAACCAAAACATTCACAGTACCACCTCACATTAGTTGAGGTTCTAGTGTGTGCCAGGTCCTGTTGTGTGCCTAGCATGGGGCCAGGCACGAAAGCACACAGGCCTGCCTTCTTTCCACACAGGGGTGCTGGCCTGTGCCGGGAGCTCAAGACAGAAGCTCAGGACAGTGCCCCTGACCTTGAGGGATGACCTCCTGGTGGAGAAGTCTGACGAGAAACAAAACCACATAGTGCTGTGATAGGGTGGGAATAGGCTGCACAGGAACTCAGATGATGGCTCAGCTAAACCTCAACATGGCCTCATGCTATTACCACACCCATTTTGTAGATGAAGAAGCCCAGGCTCAGAGGCTCAGAGGCTCAGAGGAGTGAACTGCCCTGCTCACCCAGTCAGTTTGGTTCTAATTTTCTTCAGCAGGGGGTGATAAGGATAAACATGGGGATGGAGAAGACAAGTTAGGGGGCCCTGATGGATCATCTGGTTCAAACCCCCCCCCCCCATTGCAATGGTGGAGAAACTGACACCAGGAAGGGGAAGACAAGTGCTCATAGGAAAAGGGACGGATCTAGAAACCAGACTCCCAGTTCGGGCTGTTCCTTCACACCAAATGCCTGTCTCTCCTCCAGCCCCTGCTGAAGTCTTCCTGGATCCCTCCTGTGAGACTCTCCTCAGCTGGTGGTCTGTTTGCTTCAAGTGCCACCACCCTCTTTGGATCCTAAACTCCAAAAAGTATAAAAACAGGTTGAGTTAGGACAGACCCAGAAGCCAGGCAACGGTGTGTGTACATGTGGTTGGGGGAGCGTTGGATGGGGTAGGATACCTCAGTATACCCAGGAGGCCCCAGGGGAGCCCAGATTTGGGGAGACACCAGAGAGCCAGGGGAGGGGCTGAGGGCTCCCCACCCAAGGGTCTGTCTCCCTTTTCCTCTAAAATCCCCTGGCTGGGGTGGTCCTGGAGGTGGGCTGCAGTGGGCAGGCTGACCGCAGGCCCCAGCTGCAGCTCTGCCCTAGTGTGGCCAGGAGACATTATGCTCAGGCTGCCTTCTGGAAGCTGGTGGTAAATGAATAATCTTGCTCCTACCTGCAGGGCTCTCTGGGACAGAGAAGTCACTCAGTGCCCCTCACTTCTGACTTGGCCCAACCGGACACTCCCCTGGCATTCCCCTGGCCAGAGACTGTGGAGGTTTAGGGCAGATGAAACCCCTTTAGCTCTTCGGTACTCCCCTGCCCAGTTCCATCCCAGATGAGCCCAGAGAAACTTCTCTCACTTCCTATTGCCAAATCTGCTCCCTCTCTGACCCTTTTCCCATTGAGCCCCCCATTGAGCCCCTCCCTCTCACTGGGCCCCCTCCCCTCACTGAGACCCCTTCTGAGTCCTCCCCCTTTCCAGAGCCCGCATCCCCTTTCTCCAGCTCTCCCTAGGATCGGCTTCATCATTTCCTCCTCTTTAGATTCAAGGTCACTCTCCCCTTTTCCTCCCCCTGCCCCCAGGCTAGAAGAGTGGTTCCCCCAAAGCTAATCAAAACCCCAACCCCAACCCCTCGTCCTTTCCTGGAATCTTACAGAGAATGACCTAAAGCTGGGATATTCTTACTATTCATAGTAATTTCCTTTCTCTTCTTTGGGCCATAAAGGGTGAAAACGCATCAGTATTTCTTTTCTTTTCTTTTTTTTTTTTTGTGTGTCAGTATTTCTTAACTAAGGAATTTGGGGGAGGGGAGCTGAGTGGAGGAGCATTCTACTGAAAAGTCTGGCAACCCCTGGGACCTTTTGCTTTAGCTTTGCTGCAGGCAAAGAAGTTTGAGATACAATAACTATTTCGAAATAATCCCAAATCTCTCCAATCCCAAATACCTGTCCCTTCTCGCTCTCTGTCAATTTGCTAACTTGGCCTAGATTCCCCTACCCCCCTTTTTAAAGTTTTTATTTACTTATTCATGAGAGACACACACACACAGAAGGCAGAGACACAAGCACAGGGAGAAGCAGGCTCCATGCAGGGAGCCCGATGCGGGACTCCATCCCTGGACTCCAGGATCATGCCCTGAGCCAAAGGCAGACGCTCAACCTCTGAGCCACCCAGGCATCCCTAAATTCCCTTTTTAAGCAAAGCTCTTGGACACATGGTGTCTACATGCTCTGATATTACTTTTGATCTCCACTCACTTTTCTGCTTGCCACATACCTCTTGCCCAGGCCACCAGGGATCACCTTGCTGCTTTGAATCCCAGGGCTACTCCTTAGGCCTTGTCCGGCCTGACCACTTCCACAACCTTGGACACCCTTACCAACGCCCATCTCTTGAAACCCTTTTTTTTCCTCTTTTGTTTCTAGACTGACCTCATCTACTCTCCTGGTTTCGGTTGCCACCTGTGTGCTAATAACAGTCATGTTTACGACTCCTGAGTCCCAGCTCTCTCTATATGTCCTGCCACTTCCTGGAAGTCTCTGCCTGGAGGTCCCCCAGGCATGCCAAACTCTGTGCATTCAAAACCTAACACGTAAAAAAAAACAAAAACAAAAACAAAAACAAAAAACAAAACAAAACAAAAAAACCCAAAACCTAACACGTCATCTTGCCCCAATAACCTGGTCTCCTGTTTTGGTAAACGGCACTACCATTCAATCAGTGACCTAGGGCAGAAAATTGGAGTTACCCTAATTTTTTCCCTCTCCCTCACCCCATATATCCAAATACTTCTCAAGCCCTGCTCCCTTGCTTCCTCGCAGGCCCCGTCAAACTGCATGCCTGGCCCCACTGCCCCTGCTGTGTTTCTGGCTGCACCATCTCAATAGAGATGGCTGCGGAGCCTCTTAGATGGTATCCCCACCTTCATCTCCCTCCTTGAATCCCACTTCCTCTGGAGGGTGCTGGAGACAATATTTTAGAGCATAAATCTGACCAGGTATCTCCTTCCATGACTCCCAAAACACTGGAATAAAGTCCAAAGTTTGTAATTCTGCACATGAGACTCCATGACTTGGCTTCCTCTGGGCCCCTGGGCCTTATCCCACCCTCTCTCACACCTTGCTGTCTGTCCAGCCTTAAGAGATCACGAGATCACTCTTCCCTGGACTGGGGTACAGGCCCCCTTTCCTTCTGCTTAAACCTCCTGCTCTCTCCCAGACACAAGTGCTTCCAAGCCTCATTAAACTCAAGCCCTAGAGTGCCGCCAGAGGGTCCCGAATCCTCTCTCCTCTCTCCTCTCTCCTCTCTCTCTCTCTCTCTCCTGGTCCAGGGAAGGGAATGAGGGCCCTTTCTCACCTCTAGGTGAGAAGATCCTGCCCAGCTTTACTCTCGATGCTGTGTTTTACGAACACAATAGGACGTTTTGTTCTCTTCCAAATATGAAATCATCGCACTGAATGCGCTCTTTAACAAGCACAGGGAAGATTCGCTGTTCCTCCGCACCGGGGAGGACTCCGAGGACAAACCCAGGTGGCACAGGCTAGAGACAAGGGCCCCGGACACACTATTCCCACCTCCCCCACGCCTTGGTCCGCCGAGCACGAGCACGCTGTTAGCCATGCCCAGCTCTCCAGATCGGGCCTTCAACATCTGAATCCTCAGTGAGAAGGCCAGACGGCCACCTAGGGCGCACCGAGCCCTTTCCAACCCCACTTTCTCGGTTACCCGACCTCTGTCCTCTCTAAGCTTCATTCTGGGCAACGGGAGAGCAGAACCCAGCCAAGGCCAACCCTGGGTGGGGGTGGGGGGGTTGTGTGTGGGGGGTGTTCTGCAGGGAGGTTGGAGGCCCTGTCGGCCCTCAGGACAAGGAGGCGCCCGCAAATGCAAAACGAAAGGCTTTTATTGAAAAATATCAACTGGCCCTTTTCAAGACTGCCGGTCCCTGCCCAACGCGGGCTTTGGGGCCGCGACCACCGACGGGGTTGGCGAGCAGCGGCGGCCACCCCAGCCTCGCGCTCCAGAGGAGCAAGGTTTCACTGTCCGTGCGGGCTGGTCCTCCCACCCCCCGCGCCCTGGTCCCACTCCTGGCCCCGGGCCGGGGGTGGGGGGGGGAGGTTGCTTGCCGCTGGGGAAGGGGCCGCCGGGCTGGCCCCTCCCAGTCCAGTGGGAGAGCTCCGGGCGTCTGGAGTGGGTTGGTCTCCGAGGAGAGGCTGCACGCCGGGCAGGGGCGCTGTAGCTCGACGGGTGCTGGGGGCTCCCCGCGGCTGCCCCTCACACGTAGTCCTTGCGGTCGTAGGCTGTGCTGGTGCCGGGGCCGGCGGAGCGCGGCGCGGAGTAGACGATCTTGGTGGGCGCGTACTTCTTGTCGCGCGGCGGGCAGGAGCAGCAGAGCAGCGCGCCGCCCAGCAGCTGCAGAGCCGCGGCCGCCCAGCCCACGTACAGGCCCGTGCCCATCTCCCGCTTCTGCGCGTCCGGCACCAGCGGGTTGTAGAAGTCCCGGATGATGGTGTTGGCCGACCAGGACACCGGCACCAGGGTGAGCAAGGCGGCCAGCAGGAAGAGCACTCCCGCCACGATGGTGATCTTGGCCTTGGCCGTGTCGTCCTGCACGCAGTTGGTGCACTGGGCGCCCACGAGTGCCACGAGGAGCCCGAAGGCGGCCAGCAGGATGGACACGACGATGAGGGCGCGGGCCGCCTGCAGGTCCTGCGGCAGCGCCAGCAGCGAGTCGTACACCTTGCACTGCATCTGGCCGGTGCTCTGCACCACGCAGTTCATCCACAGGCCCTCCCAGGTGATCTGCGCCGTGATGATGCTGCTGCCGATGAAGGCCGTCACGCGCCACATGGGCAGCGCGCAGCACACGATGGTGCTCAGCCAGCCCAGCACGGCCAGCGACGTGCCCGCGATCTCCAGGCCCATGGACATGGCTGCCGCGCCAAAGCCGGCTCCGCCCGGCGGCTCAGGGTGCGGGGCGACGAGGGGCCGTGGCCGCTGGGCCTGGGCGGGAGCTGCCGCGCGCCGGCGGACCGATGCCTCGACGGACGGACGGAGGGACGGAGGCACCGACGGCGCGCGCTAACGGCTCCGTTCTGCCCGCTGGCGCCTGGGCAGCGCCTGCACCTGCCTGAGCCTTGTGGGCGGGCGGCGGCGACTGGGCTGGCCCTGGGCTGGGGCCGGAGTTTCTTAGATCCGAGCCCAGCGCTCCGGCGGGGGCGGGAGGGGCGGAGCCGCGTTTCCCCGGCCTGGGGACAGTGACGTGGCCCCTCTTCCCACCTTTGCCGAGAGCCCGGGAGCCCAGGGAGCAAGGGCTGGGCGGGGAGTGGCGCCCGGCGCGCGCGGGGGGGGGGGTGCCGCCGAGGGGGGCGGGGCCGGGGCCTGCCACCCCGCCCCTCGCTCCTCGTCCCCGACAGGTCACTAGCTAATTCCCCGGGGATTCAGGGGCTGGGTGCAAGTCACAGTCTGCTTGACGCTCCCCGACCTGCCGACATGTTCGGCGCCCTTGGCACAGGCGGTGCGGGAAGGGGGTCTCTGCCAGCCGGCTGGGATCCTGGGGGCCTGGAAGGGCCCAGTGTGGGCGTGGCCGGGGCTGTTTCCGGAGTGGGCGGCCGCCCCCGGGGCTGCGCACCTGCTCCTCGGTCCCTCCGGCCTGGGCGGCGAGGGCAGCAGCACTAGCCGGCGCCCAGTTCGGACTTGCTGCAGGCCCTGGAGGTCTGCGCCCAGAAGCCAGGGGCCCGCCTCTCCCCCACAAAGGCACCGAGAAGATGCCCCAAAGCAGTGCTCAACTCAAATTCACTTCCAGCCCTCCTGCAGCTCCCTTAGGTCTTACTCCTTCCAAAGATCCTGGGTAACTTGAGCAGAGCTGCATTCCCCTCCCAGAAGTCCCTCCTCCTCGCTGATTCCCCTCCTGTAGAGCTTTGTCCTCCCTCCCTCTGGGCCAGAGTGAGTGCTGTGATCCACCTTAATGAAGGGGTGGTGAAAGGTTTGATCTAGACAAAAGTGGAAAATCCGAGATATTACTTGCAGTGCCCTTGCTCCTATTAACTTTAAAAGTAAAACTGCCAGTTATTTTACCAGCAAAAATGAGTTTATTCAAGAAAAGAGAATCGCAACCCAAGATGAGCAAACTTGCAGCAAAACCGCAGTCAAGTCCAACAAACAAAGGAGAGGAACATTATTTTATGGAGAAGGAGGAAGTAGAGAGGGCTTGTTTTGAACAAAAGTCCATTAAAGGGGTGCTTGGGTGGTTCAGTTGGTTAAGTGTCTGTCTTGGGCTCAGGTCATGGTTCCAGGGTCCTGGGATTTAGATACCCCCCCAAGCTCCCTGCTCAGCCTGCTTTTCCCTCTCCCCCCCCCGCCCCCCCCCCCCGCCCGTGCTCTCTCGAGCACGCGCTCTCTCTCTCTCTCTCTCTCAAATAAATAAAATATATATTTTAAAAGTCCGTTAAAGAGAAGCAAGTGTTCAGGGTAATGATGATTTCTCATTGGCTGAGTGACAGGGGCGGTCGATTTTTTTTATAGAAGATGTAATATGTACATCTTACCTTTTGGGGACCTATAACTGATGATTCCGTCTTGTTGGGATTCTTCTGTTGGGGTCTGTAATTGACAATTCTTCCTGTAATTGATATGGAGCAGTAGGCTCCCCTACCAGCCTCCCTTTCCAGCATCCCAGGTCCAATCCAGTGCGGTTTCTCTTCATTAACTTTCACATTTCCTTCTTTTAGATCAAGATCTTTCTTTGAAAGCATCAGTGATCAAGAGTCAGGTGTTTTGTACAAAGTGGTTTTGTCCCTCCATGCCTGGAAGAACCTTTTCTGGTTGTCATGTTCCACATTGGAAGGAAGATGCATAGCAGTTGGAAACCACTTAGGGCCACATATGAGTAACAAGGAGAGTAAGGAGGGAGAGCTCTCAGGTACTTCCCATCTGAAGTCTATATCTTCTCAAGGTTATGAGCATTGGAGGTCATCTTGAAGGGGTGAGCCAGCATCACCCTGTCGGATACATTGTTTTTATGAAAGATTGATAGGCAACAAGTACAAAATCAAAAGTAACACGACTATTTCAAACTATATGTTGGTTCTAAATTGGGACCCTAGATCTGAAGGCAGCCAACTTAACATGTTTGTTGGCACTCATTCCAATTTAGGGAAGAAAAGTTTCTCCCTATGAAGGCAAACCTGGACCATGGATGCCTCTGGGAAGTCACTGCTTAAAGCAGCCATGAAAGCAGAATAGTAAATACTATAAAAGCATTATATTGGAAAGAACCAATCAAGTGCATTGGGAAGATACAGTGCAGGTATCAACATGAAGCAATATCTAATGTCTTTGCAGAGCAGCAACACATCAGGGACTTAAAAGTATATATATATATATATATATATATATATATATATTATATATTATATATTATTATTATTATTATTATCTCTGCACCCCTGGCTAGCTCAGTTAGAAAAGCATGCAATTTGTAATCTCAGGGTTTTGAATTTGAGCCCCATGTTGCATGTAGAGATTCCTTAAAAATCAAATCTTTAAAAAATTTTATTTAAATTCAATTAGCTAACACATAGTGTATTATTAGTTACAGAGGTAGAGTTCAGTGATTAAAAAGAAAATATATTTTTAAAGATTTTATTTATTAGAGAGAGAGCACAAGCAAGGGGAGCAGGAGAGGGAGAAGTAGACTCCCCACTGAGCAGGGAGCCTGATGCAGGGCTCAGTTCCAGGACCCTTGGGATCATGACCTGAGTCGAAGACAGATGTCTAATCCACTGACTACCCATGTGCCCCTAAAAATAAAATATTAAAAAAGGGGGGCACCTGGGTGGCTCAGTGGGTTAAGCCTCCAACTCTTGACCTGGGCTTGGGCAGTGATCTTGGGGTCATGAGATCGAGGCCCATGTGAGGCTCCCTGCTCCATGGGGAATCTGCTGGAGAGTCTCTCCCTGTCTCTCTCTGCCCCTCCCTTCTGAAATAAATAAATAAATCTTTAAAAAATAAAAAAGAGGGATCCCTGGGTGGCGCAGTGGTTTGGCGCCTGCCTTTGGCCCGGGGCGCGATCCTGGAGACCCGGGATCGAATCCCGCGTCGGGCTCCCGGTGCATGGAGCCTGCTTCTCCCTCTGCCTGTGTCTCTGCCTCTCTCTCTCTCTGTGTGACTATCATAAATAAATAAAAATTAAAAAAAAAATAAAAAAGAGAGAAATAAAAAATAATAAATAAAAATATTATTTCAAAAAATTGGGTTGAAAACAAATGTTATTAAATAATAGTCTGTAAAGTTGTAAATTCAGAAACCATGGATTTGAATAAGAATCCATCATCAGTTAACAGTTGGTTTTTATTTTTAAAAAATATTTTATTTTATTTTTATTTATTATTTTTAAAAAGATTTTATTTATTCATGAGAGACACACACAGAGAGAGAGAGAGAGAGAGAGAGAGAGAGAGAGAGAGGCAGAGACACAGGCAGAGGGAGAAGCAAGCTCCATGCAGGGAGCCTGACGTGGGACTTGATCCCAGGTCTCCAGAATCACACCCTGGGCCGAAGGTGGCACTAAACTGCTGAGCCACCTGGGATGCCCAAATTATTATTATTTTAAATAGTTAATCCTTTAAATTTTTAAATTTTTTGCAGTTAATAGTTTGAAAGAAGGATTTTTATGAATTCTGAACCTTCTAAGCCTTCAGAAAAGGCAAGTGAAAAATTAGTTTGTCCTGGGATCTTGAGGCTCTTCCTGAAGGCCCATAATCAAAAGAAGAGGTTCTCCCCTTTCCAAAGGATTGAGAAATGCAGGGAAAAGCATTTCCATTCCATGTAAAAGAGAAAAAGGCATACAGGCCTGGTCCGGACATCCTGGAAAAATTGTCTTGTCAGATGCCCTCTGCTTCAATTCTGGGAAATCTTTGCTTCCAGGTCACCAGATAATGTACAGGTCCCATCAGGGTTTGGTGCCTTTAATTTAGGCATTTTTTAAAAAGATTTTATCCATGTATTTGAGACAGACGGAGAGAGAGAGAGAGAGAAAGCAGGGGGAAGGAGAGGAACAAGCAGGCTCCATGCTAAGTGTGAAGCTTAACACAGGGCTCAATCCCATGACACTTGAGGACATGACCTGAGCCAAAATCAAGTCAGACCCTCAACCAACTGAGCCACCCAGGCACCCCAGGGTTTTGATGCTTTATTTAGATGCATCATGTGAATCCAAGAGCCTATTCCCTTGAATTTGGCAGTCCCGGGGTTGGTTTGCAGTTTCTGATATGGGCCTTTCCAGCAAAGATGATGGGTCTTTCTGGAAGGACGAAGTCTCCAGGGTGCAAGGTGTGATACATAAGGGCATCGATCGTCTCCTGAGAGTGCACTGTGAAAAGATTGCCCTATCAAAGCCTGGTCATTTTTAATAGAAGCAATTAGGCCTTTATATTATTAAAGTATATCTCCTTTTATCAACTGTGGGTCAAAGGAGGAAGAGGCTGAGTATTTTGGATGTTATCTTAAAGGGTGAGAGTCTGAGTTCCCAAGGGGGTGGATTTGAGATTTAGAAGATCAACAGCTTTAGGTCAAGGTGTTTGGAGGGTTTCTACATTTTTTTTTTTTTAAGATTTTACTTATTTATTCATGAGAGACAGAGAGAGAGAGACAGAGACACAGGCAGAGGGAGAAGCAGGCTCCATGCAGGGAGCCCCATGTGGGACTCAATCCTGGGACTCTAGGATCACCCTGGGCTGAAGGCGGCGCTAAACCACTGAGCCACCTGGGCTGCCCCACCAATCAAGTCTTAATAGGCCCTTTATTACATGCCACTAATCCTGAAGATTGAAAGCATAGAACTGGCCAAACAGCAGACTTGTTAAAGCGTCTGACCAGTAAAATAGGTTCCCTGATCACTGTAATGTTTGAGAGGGGTTCCCAGGGAGTGATAATCTTATTTTATTTTATTTTATTTTATTATTTTTTTTATTTATTTTTGAGCCTGGGTAGCTCAGTGGTTGGGCGCCTGCCTTCAGCTCCAGTCGTGATTCCGGGGTCCTGGGATTGAGTCCTGCATCGGGCTCCCCACAGGGAGCCTGTTTCTCCCTCTGCCTATGTCTCTGCCTCTCTCTGTCTCTAATGAATAAATAAATAAAATCTTAAAAAAAAAAAGTTCGTCTATCAATGGTAAGCAATTATGAGGGG